GATGTGGAGTCAATTACTGCCAATATTTACGGTGTTGAAGTCTCGTAGCAGATATGCAGAGCTGCTCTTCTATGCTGGATCCCCGTATGTGCCATTCAACTTAGAACTTCCATCGAAATTGTTAAGAAGCGGCTGAGAGCAAAGTACCTTTATGTCATTACGGTACATACTCTCATTGTCTGCAGCTCTGAAGCTGTCGAGGATGTTGTTTGTCGTCAGCCCCCCTTTCTTTTTTCTATTGACCAAAATTGCCAGTCTCTCCTGATTCTTGCGGGCGACATATGTGCCCACACGAGTTGCCTATGAGATTGAGGACGCAGCCTTGGAGGCCGTCTCGCAATTCATACATGTCGTACAGACAATGGTGACCACTCTTCAGTTTCCCCTTCATCGCAATTATATCAGAAGTAGCACTTCCAAATACAAGTATTCGCATCGATTTAAATGACGAGCAGGCTACTCTGGGCTCCAAACAACCACTTCATCATCGGCTATAGACGACACATGTTAGTGCACATTTGTCATTCAATCTGGAGCACTTGTCTTGTTTCTGACCCTGCTCTTGCTTGGCGCTCAGCTTCAAAGAGGCTTGCTGCTTAGCTCTATTCTCCATCCTGCATTGAGGTTTCAGCTGCCACCGACGAGTGAACTCGACAATCCGCATACCGGTTATAACTGCCTTCTTTGCGAAATTCAGAAAGCACTCGAAGTCATCTACCCACCTGACTCGAAGCATTTGGACAGTAGATAGATATATCGAATTTTGATTGGCGTACTCGACACGCGAAAGATGTTTTCACTTGGATGTCGTTTTTAAGGTATCTGTAATATCCTGTGAGGTCTGAGAATCGACCAGGAGCGTTGGTGGATGACGAAAGCCATGAGGTGAAGAGAGCCAGAGTTACTTGGAATGCGAGAGTACTTTTTCAACGTATTCGATGCACAGGCCCAAGAAACGTTCCTGTGAGGGAGACAGTTGTTGAAAAGAATAAGCCCACTCCTAGTTATGTTGACCAGAACACTTAGCTAAGTACTTGGAAGAGCAACTCAATCTACTCGGTCCTTCGAAATTGTTAGTTGGATTATCCGATCCAGTTTGAATGTTGACTGCCTTCTCTTCTCGACGATAGCACAGGGGAGTGTTCTTCTCGCTACCGATTGTCAGCCGTCATTGCTATCTTTAACAAAAGCCGAAGAACCTACTGGATAAGTCATCTCACCACCATGCTACTGCGGCTCACTGATTCTCGTGTGAAGCGAATCTGCGGAAACTCAAGCTGAATTGCGTCCTAGTGCATTATTCATAGTTTTGCTCTTCGACTGGTTTTTTAGCATCATCACATCTACTAACAGCTTATCATGAAAGTCTTTCTTGACTTGGTTCTGTTGATCGTCTTCGCATGCGTACTTGAGACGTCTGGAGGATTCTCCCTTGACCACCAAAAGTGGAGTCCGCCAGGGTTGTTTTGTTTCACATTTCTTCTCCAGCCTTGTGACCGGGACGTGGCCGAGACATCTGCCTTGCAATCCGGAGGGTTGTAGATTCGAAACTGCGTGGGGGACGAGGCGACCCTCGCAGTATCCCAAGCCCACGGGCGACTGGTGGTGTTTGCTTGGCATCGAGTCGTCAGCACTGCGGACCGGCGTATTGCTGGTGCCTTTTTCAACCTTGTGATCTAACTGCTTATGAATGACTCACTTTCCCACCCACTTCTCTTGGGATCGACAACCGACTTTCAAACCTAGCTTTATGCGGATGACAGCTCACTTTAGGTCGTATCCGGCTTATACACACGATCTACTCATTAGACCGACTCATCACGCTGCACGATTCGGCACGTTCTTAGCGCCCTCGAAATGCAAGGTACTGCTACAAGACTGGGCCGATTCACCACCAATTCTCACCATCACTAGCGAAGCGCTTGAACTTGCCGATCTGTTTACTTATTTTAATAGTTGCATCACGTCTGGCGGTCACATCGACGGAGGGATACCTACACCAATTACTAAGGCATGTATGAATATTCACAATCTTGGTCGTTTGTGATGGCATTGTCTCATTAGATTGCTTGTTTATATTCTTGCTTGCTTGTTGCTTGTTTATATTCTCGGCCACTATGCACGACATCTCGGCCACTATGCACGACGCAGGAGCATCTGCTTGTGGCACTCTCAGTCGTCATCGCACCAGTCACTGGATATCCGAGAGGTCCGTGAACCTTTTGGAAGCTAGAAGGCACCTCCCGGCTGGTTCTGAACACAATGTGACCAGACGGGCTATTAGGCGTGAACTAAAGCGGAGCCTACGTGCTGACAAGGAAGCCTGGTGGACCAGTCGGGCTCAAGAAATGGAGGAGGCAGGAGCAGTAGGCAATTACCGCAAGCTCTTCCAGCTAATACGCACCACTGGTCCGAGAAAACCAGGCGTCAGTGAGACAATCAGGGACAGCGCGGGTGCACTGATACACAATAAGCAGCGCCGTATGGCTCGTTGGGCTGAGCACTTTGAACATCAGTTCAGCTGGCCTCCTGCTCCCGGACCTCTTCCTACTCAGGTGATGCAGGACAAGCCATGGACGGTTAGTTTAGAGCCTCCGTCGGAGGCCAAAGTCCGAAACGCGATCACAGCCCTTAATCGTTTTCGTGCCGCTGGCCCGGATTCCCTACCACCTGCACTATTTAAGGATGGTGGTGAGGTCCTCTGCAAAGCACTGACCTCCCTATTCGAACGTATCTGGAACGAAGAGAGTGTGCCGGCTAATTGGAGCGAATCGATTATAGTGGCAATATACAAGAAGGGCAGTCGCACAGACTGTGCGAACCACAGGGGTATTAGCCTAACGCCAGTTGTGACAAAATTACTGGCCTCGATTATCGTTCGTCGCCTCACTGCAGAACGGGAATCTCGGATTAGAGAAGAGCAGGCCGGTTTTCGCCCAGGACGTGGCTGTATAGACCATATATTTACTTTGCGGCAGGTGCTAGAGCAGCGCCACGCATACCGCAGACCGACAATAGCTGTGTTCCTCGATTTCAAGAGTGCGTTCGATTCAGTCGATCGATCGATTCTGTTCGAAATACTTGCGCGGAAAGGTGTTCCCACGAAATATGTGAACATCCTTCGTGCTCTATACTCGAACACTAGAGGCCGCGTCAGGGTCTATGGTGCCCTATCGGATAGCTTTTCGACTACAAGTGGCGTTCGACAGGGTTGCCCGATTTCCCCATTTTTGTTCAATTTCGTCGTGGATTCTATCATGGAGTGTTCCCTTGCGGAATCTCACGATGTAGGTGTTGAAGTGCTGCCTGGTGAACGGTTAGTTGATCTAGATTATGCGGACGATATCGTCTTGCTTTCCGACAATGTTGAGGCGGCACAATCAACCCTGAATAGCCTATCCAGAGTGGTCCCATTATTTGGTATGCACTTCGCACCTTCAAAATGCAAAGTGTTGCTGCAGGACCACCAGCCACTCGATGACCCCTTGACCCTTGCTAACGAGGAACTCGATGTGGTTGATCAATTCACTTATCTTGGCAGCTGCATCAGCAATGATGGGCGCATAGAAACTGACGTGAGCTCACGCATTGCAAAGGCCAGAGCTGCCTTCTTGAACCTGCGTCATCTTTGGCGACAGAAGGGAGTTTCCCTCCGTCTGAAAGGCCGTGTATACAAGGCCACAGTGAGGGCCGTTCTGCTCTATGGTAGTGAAACTTGGCCCCTTCGGTCTGAAGATCTGAGGCGCCTTCAAGTCCTTGATCATCGTTGTTTGCGAAGCATTGCTGGTGTCGGATGGCACCAGCGTGTCCGCAACGATGATGTGCGTAGGCGAGTACTAGGGGGTGATGATCATGCTATCTCCCTAGAACAACAGATAGCACTGAATAAGTTACGTTGGCTCGGGCACGTGCTACGTATGCCTGGTCACCGCTTACCTAGGAGGGCCTTGTTTAGTCTACCAGGTGTAGGGTTGCGCAAGGCTCGAGGTGGACAGAAGTTGACTTGGCAGCGGGAAATGAAGTCACTGACGACCAAACTGGGTGCCGTTGGTCCGTCTCGCCTTCCGGGTTGGAGTCCACGTGACTCACCTTGTGCTTGGCTCGAGACTTTACAGGACATGGCTCGCAACCGACACCAGTGGCGCGTCTGCTGCCGTCTCCTAATCGGATTGTCTGTTTAAAGTGTGTTTGGTGCTGAGTTATCTGCGGGGTAATGGCTGATTATGACGCGTGGCAGTGAAAGCCGCAAGGAAGCTGTCTCGCCGATGCCGCCTTATCTTTGCACGATAGCCAGCTGTTTGTGACGGTATGTTGTCTACACAGAGGTGTAGGTGCCTTGACCCTGAATGTTTGCTTAGGGCATTAAGGTTTTCAGGTAAGTCCCCCTTCTCTCCCTTTTCTTATTCTTTATTTCATAGGTCCTCATGGTTGTATGGCAGCGAAGCATCAGTTCAAATGGCTGATGTACTGCTGTTGTTGATGATGATGATGTTTATCTTGCATCACCGCTACTTGTGTTCGGCCAATACTGCGATTTGTTTGAGTGAATTCCTAGACAAAAAAGCATGGACATACTCATCTAGTGCTTTGCTCTGATAAATACTGTCTCTTCCTCCTGAATGAGGTCCTCGGGATTTGCCACATCATTGGCTGACTATTCTATCGAGGTCTCTGGCGACCACGAAGTCATTGGCGGTCTATCACTCTTGTCTTCTTCTCGGACTCTTAACTGCTTCTTCTGATTATTTGAAGTGTTCTCCTCGAGCATGTTGGCGCGATGTGTTTAGAAGTCACTTGATTCACCGCACCTCGATGCACGAATCGAAGTTGTCTAACTGAACCGAACCATTTAAGTTTCTACTATCATTACAGTGTGATCTTCCATCAAATCGGCCACTAGCACTGCACTATAACTGACTTTGACCGCATTGCACATCTCCGTATTCGTTCAGGCTATATTGCATGATGCATCCTTGTGTTTTTTACATTTGTTGTTCCAGCGAGACGATGACCTTGAAGAGGACGAAGATTTCGCGCAAGCCGAGACATACGCGGAATATGTACCCATGCGGAGTAAGTATTCGTCCCTTTGTACCCTTTCCGTTGCATTCGAAAAAGTTCATACTGCACCACACGTTACATGTTGGTGTGTATCATATTCTCGATGGCGTTCTTTCATACCCCTTTTTGTATTTTACACGTGTGAAAGGTACTTCAGGCATCGCTCACTCTGTTTTGACGGATTGGCAGCTTCACAGTCAGAGGCTGTCCAATGTGGTACGCTCAGAAATGTCTACAACTCAATCCTGGAACACCTAGAGAGAGGGGACATAAAATGCAAACGAAAGATGTTTTCAAAGTCGTGTAGATGGCAACAAAACGCTGTCCAAAAGGACTCAGAAAGCGCCTACTGGCCACGACAAAAGGAACTGCGATCAAGCGGCTAAAACCGGAACTGTGTAAACAGCGTGTATTTGTGCAAACTTTAATCTTACCGTGGCCCTAACATGGTCAGCCCCATTTTATACCTAGTTGTCGGTGGTAGTACGTTCAAACTGTCATTGATTGCCACCGTTCTTCCGGTCGCAGCATACACGGCAGATCGTCGATAGCTTCTATTCAGTTGTAATTATCTGATGAGATTTATCGGAAAGAAATTTTTTCGCTTTTTCCCTTTGGACATAAAAATGGAGAAAACGAGAAAATCCGAATTTCGACTGATTCAAACTCACACACTCAGCTTTCACAAAGCCTCCTCGAGTTGTTGCAACAAGCCTCACTGCCAGTCCGCGCTAATTTATCCGCCGAAGCAGAATTGACTAACGGTCATTCGTTAATCGAAGTCACTTTATCCATCCTCTCACGATCCTCCTGTGGTCGCAACCGGGACAGAAACGTTTATAACCTCACGCAAAATGTGATCTTGTTGCATTAATGCTCCGGAGACTATCTCAATTGTTCGCCTACTCCATTCGTTTTCTGGGTCTCTCCATAACTTGTGCCTTTTTGACACAACTCCGAGGTTGTACGATTTTGATAAAATTCCGATGGGGATTCATCACAGCTGTGCCCAATCAGACGACAGGTGCAATCCTGACAAGCACTAACGACTGTGTTTTGTCATTTCCGGGCTCATCCTTGGTTGGCGTAATTGGATACATTCCGAGAGTCATGAGAAGGGAGCAGCAAACACGCTGACAAGGTAACTGGCCGGCACCTTTCCATTGTGCTGACGGCTCGGTTGGCTTCCAGTGAAATGGCTACCGGTTGATCCACTAGCATTATTCGATGGGCAATTACCGCTTTTCAGAGTAGTGAAGGCGAGGACTTGGCTTACATTTCAAGTAAAATTCATTGCAGTTCGGTTATGTTAGATTACATAGCGCACTCATGGTTTCCACTGTTCGTGTGAGCCGGAGTTTTCTATCTTTCATTTGGCGCATTTCAACAAGTCTCAACGGTCTAATATTTGCTGAAGCGGATGGCATGCTGCAGTACATTTGACTGTGGTCTTTACTGCGTTTTGATACTCTACTTTGCTTCTGTTTTCAGAGTTTTCTCATTAACTAGGGAACAGTACACGGCGAATGTGGACAGTTAATGCTTAGTTACTTGTCGCTCTGCGGAAACATCCGTAGCCATTCACCCGTCCCTCTCCCTTCCTCTTCCTTTCCAGTGAAACTCGGTTGTAAGCACCCTGATCCGGTGGTGGAGTCCAGTTCTTTGTCGAGCGTCTTGCCCCCCGATGTGCATTATCGATTGACACTGCCGCGAGAAGTGATCGATGGTGGCCATCTATCATCCTTGCAGCTAGAGGCTGTTGTCTACGCTTGCCAGCGACACGAATGCCTTCTTCCCAACGGACAACGTGCTGGTTTTCTCATCGGTTCGTGATGGGTTTTGTTTGCCTATTTTTTGTACTGGTGTATTGTCTATTCTCCAATGAATCCAACACTGCCTATCTGCTGCTGCTGAAGTGCATCGTCTAAGTACACACTAATCACAGTGCCAAGAGATGCTTCTGTAATCTTACCAGTTCAATACCTCATTGTGAGGCACATGGATCTACTTATTTTAACTGTTGTTCTACCGTTGTCTCTTTCCCTCCGGGTATAACAGTCGGTTGTCGAAATGTATGGAAGTGTTCACTGCTGTTTTTATCCACGCACCCACAGTTCCAGCTTTACTCAGCAACCTGTGTGAATGCTGTGGGTATCAGATTAGCAACCGTTGTTTTTTGTATGGGGATTTTAGGAACTAAGCGGTGCGGTCAGACTCTTGCAATCATCTCCTCTATTCCTTCGGACTTTCTCCTTTCTGCGTTTTCCTTTCCCTGTGCATCGCCTGCGAATCCAACGCGATAGAACTGGCGTTATCCATTGAGCTACACTGACTGACGCCTTGCATGCGATTTCAGAGCCACCCATAGCAGACAAATCAGTGGTTAGGGATCAGACAAATCCAATCTCAACATCAACAATGATATGCTGCAAATAATTTGAACCGATACTTCGCTGCCGCATCGCTCATGTTTGTGCGTGAACTGGGATACTGCTATGGAGTCAAATCCTAGGTATGCGAACATTTAGAGTCCATAACCAAAGCCTCTCGCTCAGAAGCCTGATCGCATCCGAAGGCGCTGCTTTGTATATATTAGCAGGTCGAAGAGGTACAGTAAGGCCCGCTCCCGTTTCGACAGCTCTTCGGATGTAGTTGGGGATATGCCACTTACCCTATTTCTTCAGAACTTAGCAACGGAAAGCAACAATGTACGAGTTATAGGTTCGGGTTGATTGTCATGCAGCACTGGCTTCTGCACAGGCTCTCTGAAGTTATGCATTAGTTTGCTATCGTCTGCCTCAATCCAAACAGCCTGTGATCAAAATGTGCGAACCCGCACCTAGACTGGACACCACCGAAAAGATGATGTGTATGTTTGATCATTGGAAGCCGGGAGTCCGGCGAGTGCAGAAAAAGTAGAACGCTATTGTCCCGTATGCGCGTATTTGGAGACATAGTACATTTCAATTGCAATAGAGTGTGCCGGCCCGTAGCCTTAAGGATCACAAGCCTGCCTTGTAATCCGAGGGCGCGCGTTCGAGCCTGCGTAGGGACCGGCCGACCCTCACATTATCCTTAGCCCACGTATGACCGGTGTTGGTTGAGTGGCAATGAAGCCTCGATACTGTGTACCGGCGTACTGTTGATGCTTTAACAAAAGACTGTAAAGTGATAATCAGTGTACTGTTGATAACAAAGCTATGCATTAAAAGATCCTAATGAAGCATAGCGCCCCGGGTTTAAACGATGAACCGGTATCATTGCTTGTATGGCTTATGCAGTCGAGAGTATTCTCTTGCTGGTAAACACGCAAAGAGGATGTGTACAAAGGAAAGGAATTGATAGTGTAGGAAAGAGCACTGGAGACTGTGTCATGTGGACAAATTATACTATGAAGCTGCCCATTCCGAAAGAGAGTTTTTTAACAGGCCTTACCTCCGGCTTTTGATACAAGTCTGTTCCATTGGCCGGTAGTCGAAGTCTAGCGGTTTAAATCAACGCCGGTGTAAGCGACCCCCCAGTATCTCTGGCTTGCGCGCAACGGTTGTTGACCCACAGGGAGCACGTCCACTTTGGCAGTGTGACCACAGAGTTCTCTTGGGAGCTGCTTGAGGCATGTCACACGTAGCCGCAGAAGACTCAGGATAACCCATGTGTTTTCGATTGCGTCATAGTTACTATTTCTCTTCTCCTCAACTTTGTGTTTAAAATCGCTATAAAACACCCCTCCATTCCCTTCCACTTCTCCTGGGACACAATTTCTGTACTGTATAGTTTGGAATGCAATGACGACAGTTCTCTTCGAGTAGGATCTAGGCAAGGACGTTAGTAAATCGGATGATGTATGGCACTGCGCACTTTGGTCTGTGCCCATTCCGTTTAAAGCACTGTTACAGAACTGGGCCGACGTAACACCGATCCTCCTCATTGTTGAACAACCATTCGATGTGGTCGATCGATATACTTATCTAACTCGCTCCGTATTCTCATCAGTGATGGTCGTATCTTTTGTATGATCATCATTGGGGGATTGCCTTGACTCAGATGGCTTTTCACATTGTCATCCATTTTGTAGGGACGGTGAGCTAGGGGGAAGCGTTTGCGCCGCTGTGATGCGATCAGTTTAACTGTGTGCATCACTGACACAACTGCTACACACTGGATACTGGAGGCTGACATTATTTGGCCACAGATGCCTGCGAAGCGTTACTAGTCTTGGCGGAGGCCTAAGTGGATGTCGTTGAGGTTCGTCCTGTAGTGTTTGATCGCAAACCCTTTCGTGTGCCTCATCGGCAAAAACATCAGACGTACCCATCGAACTTAACCTACGCAGGCTTTGTCATGCGCTCCAAATGCTTGCTAGCTGACTTCCTCGTCGTGTATTCTCTTCTGATACCCCGCCCACACTGAACATAACGCGACCAGAAAGTCTATTGTGCTCTTGCATCCGTTCCCTTAGTTCTGGCTCCCTGCCACATCTAGTTTCTTTTCCCCATTTCTCCTTGGTTATTAAAATGGCTGCTATTATTTTTATTATTTATCACTATTAATTCGGTGGGATGAGTGAGGGCATGTGGATCCAGTGCTTTTAGTACACGCATCACAGTTTATCGAATTACCTATGGATTTCATGGATATCTTTTGGCCATGTGGAACCCGCAGATCCAACAACTTGCCTGTATGAATTTGCCTGCTGTTGAGTCGAGTCTCTTCTGTGAACTCCTCTTTTTACGCAATTTTCTCACTTGCCACCAGGTCGCAGCAGCGATGTCGAACCGCATACGAAGCCGGTCTAGCGCGCACCCTAGATTCCCTAGACATTGATGTCTGCTGCCTTTGAGAAACCCGATTGCAAGATCCCAGTACTGTGCTTACATTGACATCCCCCACTGACCACGAAGCCAGATATCTCCTGCGTCTTTCTGGAGATCCAGAAGCAGCCTCAACGGGTTTGGCTGGTGTAGGTATAGCACTGAGTGGCAAGGCCGAGGCGGCACTACTGGACTGGTTCCCGATTAACAGCCGACTATGTGCAGTTCGGCTTCGGGGTTCATGTAGAATCAACAGGCAACGCGAAGAGAGACACAACTTGTTTGTGATCTCTGTGTACGCTCCAACTGACTGCAGTGGCGACTCGGTCAAGGACGATTTCTACCGAGATCTACAACAGCTCTTGACAAATGCTAAAAAGTCGGATGTCGTTATCCTTGCTGGGGATTTTAATGCACGGGTTGGCCGCCTGTTACCATACGAACGCCACCTTGGTGATCATCACGCGCTTGATGAGAACCGCTCTGATAACGGAGAGAGACTTCTCACATTATGCGAGAACAACCGTCTGTTTCTTTCGAACACTAGCTTCAGGCGTACGAAGAAGCGTTCCGCAACTTGGCGTCCCCCTTCGCCAACACAACCGTGGTCTCAAATTGATCACATTGCAATTAGCTTCAGATGGCGCGGCAGCGTACTGGACTGCAGGTCCTTTTGGTCCACTTTCGTTGATTCAGATCACGCTCTGGTCTGCGCGAAAATCTGTATGTGTTTTGGAGGATCCCGAAACACGAAGCACCGCAAGATTGATGTAAACAGATTAACTGATTCCTCTGTCCAGGAGAGCTATCAGTCTTCACTGGCATATGCACTCAGTTGCAATCCACCGCGAGAAGTGGAACAACACTGGACTTGTATACGGAAAGCGCTGACCATTTCCGGACAGTCATGCTGCGGTCTAACTCGACGCCCTTTGAAGTCTTGGATCTCTGCTCGTTCTCTGGAGCTCTTCGAACGCCGCAAAGATATCTCCGCGGAATCAGACTGCAACGAGCGGCGCCGTTCTATCAACCGGCTGCTTAAGCAAAGCCTACGCAAGGATCGCGAGACATGGTGGTCTGAGCGTGCTTTAGAGATGGAGACTGCTGCCCTCTCTGGTAACACTCGCAGGCTTTTCCAACTCATTCGGTCCACTGGCCTCAGGAAACCTGGTGTCAGTGAGGTCATTTGTGAGGTGGATGAGTCACCGATCACCAACCAACAGAGGCGTATAGACCGCTGGGCCGAGCACTTTCACTCGCAGTTCAACTGGCCTCCACCATCCATCAGTACATGCAGTACACCTTGGCTCGTCCCATTGAATCCACCCAGCGAAGCAGAAGCCTGCCTCGAGATTCGACGCTTGAAGCGCTTCAAGGCTGCAGGCTTAGACGGACTTCCTCCGGAGCTATTCAAGTATGGCGGCGTGGCAGTCATTAACCAGCTAACCGCGCTGTTCGCAAAAATTTGGCATGAAGAGAAAGTGTCTCCCTCTTGGGGCGAATCAGTTATTGTCCCAATTTTCAAGAAAGGCGCTCGCACTTCATGTGCAAATCATCGCGGGATTAGTCTTATTTCGGTTGCCTCTAAGCTGTTGGCATCCATTCTACTTCGTAGACTATCCCCAGTACGTGAATCATACTACCGTGAAGAACAAGCTGGCTTCCGTCCTGGCCGCGGATGCGTGGATCAAATCTTCACGCTCCGCCAGCTTCTCGAACATCTCCACATTTATCACAGGCCCACTATCGTTGCATTCCTAGACATACGTGCCGCTTTTGACTCCGTTGATCGACCTGCTTTATGGCGTTGCTTACTAAAGAACGGGGTGCCAGAGAAATATACCGCCATCTTACGAGCACTTTACCTTCACACATCCGGCAGAGTGAGGGTCTATGGCAAGCTTTCCTCGCAATTCACTGTCAATAGCGGTGTGCGACAGGGCTGCCCTATGTCCCCATTCCTCTTCAACTTCGCAATCGAAGACGTTCTGTCGAATGCCCTAGAAGGTTTCCAACATTTTGGCCTAGAGCTTCTACCGGGTGAGCGTGCGACCGACTTAGATTATGCTGATGATATCGCCTTACTTGGTGACGATCCTCAGGGTATGCAACTCATTCTGGATCGTTTGGCGATTGAAGCATCTAGGTATGGCATGAGCTTCGTTCCATCGAAGTGTAAAGTACTGCTTAAGGATTGGCTTTCACCTGCTCCCGTGCTCACTCTCGAAGGTGCACAACTTGAACAGGTAGATAGTTTCGTCTACCTTGGGAGCTGTGTTTCTGCTGACGGCACTGTCAACAAAGAAGTTTCGCTTCGTATCGCTAAAGCTCGATCAGCATTTGTCAATCTGAGACACTTGTGGCGTCGTCGCGACGTCTCATTCTCACTAAAGGGCCGTTTACAGCACGTCAGTTCGCTCAGTATTATTGTATGGAAGCGAGTCCTGGCCGATTCGCGTGGAAGACATGCGTCGTCTTTCTGCGTTCGATAACGGTTGCTTAAGGAGGATCGCTCGTGTTCGGTGGCAACATCGAGTTACCAGTAATGACGTTCGACGTCGCGTCTTGGGGAATGCAAGTATTTCCTTCAACAAACTGGTTTTGTTGCGCCAGTTAAGATGGCTCGGTCATGTCCTACGCATGGCACCTGAGCGTCTACCGCGTCGCGCTCTATTCGCTCGTCAAGGATTTGGCTGGAAGCGACTGCGTGGTGGTCAGCCTTCCACTTGGCGGCAGCACATGAAATCGCTGACGTCTTGTCTAGCCGCTGTTGGACCCGTACGTCTTCCAGGATGGGGACCCAAAGATGGGGAGTGCCAATGGCTTAGGACTCTTGAAGACATGGCCCGCAACCGGAATCAGTGGAAGAATTGTGTACAGTGTTGTGTTGATTCACATGTTTAATTCTACAAACATTGAAAATGACAAAAAAGAGAAAAATCGGCGTGTGACAAACAAACTAAAAATGTTTTGTGCTGTATTTTTGTCAAAATATTCCATTTTCTTGCGGCATATTAGCTGAAGTGTGTTGCCCACCTTCAGCTAGCATGCCACGACGATTATGACGCAATGACTGTCTCTTATCCACTGATTTCCATGGCTTTCTTGGCTCTATGTCTAGTTACTAGACTGTTGCGATTACATACATACCTCGGTGACGTGCTTTTCAGCTGTATTGTAATTATGCAGCTTATTCTATGTTTATTGCTTGTTTTTGGCTCCACCTTAATTTGTTGTTCCATCTTTCCCTGTCTCTTCTTCCTGTGCGGCTGCTGGGTGGCCGGCAATTTTCATTTGCCGCTTTCTGCACAGTGCTTCACTTTCCATCGACGAATTAGACCATTTGCGCACAATCCATATGCTATCATCGTTGATGTTCGCATGGTTGGTACTTGGCTCGCCTGTGCGATCTTCAATAGAGTTTGCGTGCTCCTCATTCCCACACTTTTCTCCATATGTGACCCGAGGGAATTTTACCTTCCTAGGTGATGGGGCTGGTGTCGGAAAGGGGCGCACAATTGCTGGGATTCTGTACGAAAATTACATCCAGCATCGGAAGAAGGCTATCTGGTTATCAGTTTCCAACGATTTACGCGTGGACGCGGAGCGCGACTTACGGGATGTGGGCTTCGGTAAAATCAAGGTTCATTCGTTAAATAAGGTGAGTTTCTCTCTCTCTTACACATCGGTTTGAATCGACCTGGTGCATTAGGATAGCTTGCCCCACCGTGTTCTCCTTGCCACATTCGTCGGCAGCGTGGTCACATGACCGCAAGTAAATTACATCCTTACCATCATTCATAACCATGCTTGGTACCACAGTTTGATTCCATTGGACATCCACCTCCATTTGACACCATACATCTGCTTGTTTCCTATGTTAGATTACTTTCGCTTCAGTCCTTACCTTTCTCTGCTCCTGGAGGCATTGAACCGCTGCAGTGTGAGATTTATGGCTATTGGAAACATATGTGTCACATTGGTTCGGTGTCCTGAACAGTTCCCTGTCCTTTCCAATCGTTTTTCCGGACGTTCACACCAACGGGACATAAAGTTTTCCCTCCATTCTTCTTTACTTTCTGCAGTTCAAATATGCGCGGATATCCGGAAAAGCGAATGGACGTGTCAAGAAGGGAGTCATTTTTTCAACGTACTCCTCTTTGATCGGGGAAAGTCAGGGCAGTGCCAAAGCCAAGTATAAAACGCGACTTAAGCAGCTGGTTCATTGGTGTGGGAAAAGCTTTGACGGCGTCGTAAGTGGTCATATTTCCTGACCATGATGCTATCGTACCATTTTAATACGCGTACTCAATGCATCACAGCTGATGCATATTCGAGCTGCTACCCGTTTGACAGCCCTGTTCAACTAAAATCCCCTATTCCTGGAGTTTTGTGCATTCTTTCAGATTGTCTTCGATGAGTGTCATCGGGCTAAAAACCTCACACCCAGCGGTTCACAGAAACCTACGAAAACTGGCCTGACGGTTCTGGAGTTGCAGAATCGTCTACCAAATGCACGAATTGTCTACGCGAGTGCAACCGGTGCCACGGAACCGCGCAATATGGCCTATATGACTCGGTTGGGCTTGTGGGGCGAAGGTACACCGTTCAAAACCTTCAACGCATTTATCCAGTCCCTGGAACGTCGCGGCGTTGGAGCCATGGAATTGGTCGCGATGGATATGAAGCTGCGAGGCATGTACATCGCTAGGCAGCTAAGTTTCCAGGGTGTCCAATTCAATATCCGAGAGATAACTATCGAAGATGTGCGCCTGAAGAACGAGAGCTTCGTCGACGTGTATAATCAGTGTGCTGACCTCGTAAGCGATCCATTTCACCTATTTCTTGTCCAATTTTCCTCCCGGCCGAAATTTTGTTTCACTGTTTTGATTTGGTGCTCACATGGCATACTCGCCCCACTGCTAAGCTACTCGGCAAACTGGGTTGTGGCATTTTTGAATTTTCCTTTTTTCCCCGCAATTCTCTGCTGTTGACCACTTCAGATCGCATTGTGAGGACATTTTTCTCGTTTAATTTCTATTTGATCGCGCTCAACGTCGGTGTTGTATGACCCTTCGAGGTTTGGAACGAGTGCTGAGCCGCGATCTGACTCTACTGGCCACATAACGTTTTATTATTGGTAGGGCACATGGTGTCCCGCGTTGTTTCACGTTTGACGTACTTCACTTTGCAGTCAGTGGCGTACTTGCATTCGGTTTCTTGCATCTGTTTGTTGCTTTTCGTTCCATTCTGATTAGTTTGAAGGCACTTCTTTCTTGCTTCAATTTTCTTTACATTCTATTTACATTCAACCCCACGGTGTTGTCGTTGTTATTTATTGTTATTCTTGCAGTGTGAGTCGTGGCAACTGGATCCACTGCACTTCGGTGCTCGGATCACAGTTGTTCAATCGCACTAAACTATGGGCCCTCCGTGTCCGTTTTCCAGCCGAGCGGCATGGCGTTTGTGGATCGAACCTTTTGACTTTTCGTATCGATTTGTTCGTATCCCAATGGTTAATAAAGAGTCAAAGGTCATCCAACTCATAACAAGCCTCCGTTTCGCCTCTCGTAGCTACCACTACAGCCAGTGTTCCGTGCATATCCGATCCGTATCACCCTACTACCCTATTCAAACTTTGCTTTTCGATCCTCTGGTGATCTGTGGTTTTCGTACACGTAATCACTGTCAAGGCGCATGTTGATATATGGACACACACACACAGCTTCGGCTGGAACAGAGCGGAGATTTTGGCTCATGCAGTGACGCAACAAAGAGACGGAATTCCCCGAAGTTCTTCATCTACTAATGCCATCAACATTGATAGCATTGACATCGACCTCGTGTACGTGCAACTCAGAAAGAATGATCTCCATCGAATCGAAAGGTTAAGTTTAAAACAACTAGCAGCTCGAGCTAGCACTTCAGCCGTGGGGGACAGTGAGTGAAGATCACGGGTGCAACTCGAAGAGGTCACTTTCAATAGTCATCTGCCCGTCGATCACGTATGGACGATTTAATCAGCAGGATTACACACTACACTGATTATTCTGTCTAGCATGGTGCCGAAACCGATGTAACCATTTTATCAGGCTTGGCGAACCAATTCGGCTCTTGTGGACCCGCGCGGACAAATGATTGATCGATTTTCGATCGACATGCCCCAAGTGACTTAGTCGACTAACGGTTCTACTTCACTGTACCGCAACAAACGCGGATACCACCTGGCAAAATTAGAGGATGGGAAATGTCTTCGGTGCGAACTTTGTGAATCCACAAAGTCTTCACAACAGGAGGATTCGTGTCGAAGCAGCCAAGCGATAAATTCACAGTGCTGAACTGGATGGATGTACCCGTAGCATTATCATAGCCTGCTCGAGCAAGGTTGTCCGATCAGTTTGTAGCGATTTGCTATTGTTTCCCTCTTAACCATCACCTTTTCACTTTTACAGTACGTTTTTTGTCGGAAAAATTCTAACCTTCACTATAGTTATCGATCACATCGATGGTGTGCCTATGAGATCGTTCGCTTCGGTTCCCTGGTTCACCTCACTCAGCTTACATCTCTCTCTATCTGTCCCTCTTATGCAGTGGGTCTACGCGTATCGATTTTTCTCCGAAGCTACTCGTCTCAGTTGTCCCTCTGATCGTTTCCGCAAAACAATGTGGGGACAATTTTGGTCGGCTCATCAACGATTTTTCAAGTATCTGTGCATTGCTGCCAAGCTGGACGCTTGTGTAGAGCTTACAAAAGCCAGCTTAAAGGACGGCAACGTGAGTTTGCGCTTCTCATAGCCACCACCCCTTTGTCGCATCATGCGATCTATTTGTCGCGATACATTCATCCAGTGATGATGATAATAATGATAATAATAATAATAAATCGCCAGCTGTACGCCGTAACGGCGCTTCGCTGCCACGCGACCACCAGCAGTCTCGCGTGGGCTGAGTATACCGCGAGGACGCCCGCCCCTACGCGAATTCGAACCGGTGACCTTATGGTTGCAAACCAGACACGCATAGCACTCGGCCACCGGCCGCGTGAGATTTCCTCTGAAAAAGCGGTTACCGTCCGTGTGCCAGCTTCTAGCCGGAATATCTGCGCTTCACATCATGTTACCTCTCACACCTAGCACATTTGCCCGAAAATCACATCCTCTGGAACTGACAGGATTCTGGCTAATTTTGAACCCTTCTCACCGGGCTGATGAGAACAACACTGTACGATACAAACGAGCTGGGATTATTTGGCTTTAAAGAGGCCTTGTAGCGTCTGTTTCTAAACAACTGTGCTGAGAGTGATTGGTACGTGGGATTGCTCACCAGTTGCTCCCACGGCATTCGTGCTCTATCCAATAGAACTCGAGCTTTTGAAATGCGTTAAATCCAGTAACCAGACCTCACATTTAGATAAATAGACCAGTTGAATGTGCTAGCGAAGTGTATGCGGTAGATCCTTGCGTGGCTCCGATAGTCTATTCGAATTGGGCTGGAACTTTTTCCAGTTCTGGGAATGACAGTCAATGCCGCGCCTCGTAGAGTTTTTCTTGGCTCAGCGTGCGGATGACTTTTCAGTGCCCCTAGCCAACAAGCGACCTGTGTTGATCGCGCGGCAGCGATGCACAGATACGACATGCCTTCACACGATTGGTTCCTAAGTGAGTCAACATGGACCCACTACTGCTGGAGCAATGCACAGGTGAACCGACGAGGTTGATCCATCATTCATTCTTGCTGGATCCAATTTATCTTTAGACTTGTAGTGTCTGTCTCAAATGCGGGTTCAAGTGGCTTAGGGGTGAGTTACGACATAACTATTCTGCTAACTTTGTTTCCGAGCTTTAATCGCTGTTGTTCGAGCCGATGGGCTGGAGGTCTGATGGCCTCTCCTTAACTAGTGAATAATCCAACCTTAACGCTAACAGTCTTTAAAAGACTTTGTAGATTCACGTCTACCGGTAGGGAAGTCCTGGAGTCTCAGTACCAACCACCACTGTCCTTTCCCCCGAGCATTAACAACATGGCACTGGAGGACAGGTCAGGCTATGTCACAGTTCTCTTTCTATCCATGATAGTTAGTTATCGTCTCTCATTGTTCAGTAGCGAAAACTGCATGGCTGGTAATGTAAGTCACCAGTGGTCATGGATTCGGTTTCCTGAAGGGGGGGACAGAGGACTGTGTACCACTGACGGGTCGCCTAGTGCTTTTCTGAATTGGTTATTGGTCTATCTGGTTTGTAATCTAATTGCGATGTACCAAACAAAATTCACTGTAATTGTTTCCGCCACTTGGTCCTTTCTGGGCCTTCTACTTCTAGCGGTCCCAAATGATTCCCCGTACCTGTCGAGTTCTTACTCGCCATTGTCTTCGTAATCCATCCAACCCAACCGGGATTTCGTACTTCTTTTTCAGTGTGTTGTCATTGGTCTGCAGTCGACTGGTGAAGCCAAAACACTCGAGCAGGTGGAAGAGCTGGGATCCGATCTCGGCGATTATGTGTCTACCACAAAGTGAGTGATTCCTGGCTTGCTTCCCACCATTGGATGCCATAGTTGTTTGGTCTAGCAAATTCCGCTCGATTCCGGTTAACAACAGCTTCGTTTCTCACGAATTTCGAATCCCAGCTACAACGAAAAGTTATTGACCTTGACAAACAGATGTACTCAATGGAACACGGTACCCGGTCCAGGCGGTCTACAATGCACTGACTACAGTTATTCATTATTATTGAAATCTCAATTTGTAGAATAGTTGGGTCAGCTACCGATCTGACCAATTACAAATTGATAAAAACACCATATGCTACACATTTTCTGAGTATTTTCGTTTAATATTATTGAGATAACGGTTTTTCCGGGAAAATTTTGCTCCTTCTCGGCGTATACAAAGATACTCCGATCAATTCGCAATGCCGAAGAAACTATCCGCCGTTTGTGCCAGTCCATCGCCTTGGTTGAACTGGTTTTGGGTACATCTCTGGGTCATGAAAAGTGATTGAACGTATCTACTCATTGAAATGATCCGCTGCATCTGCCAGCAAACCGCAACTTCTTTTGCCTTGATCATCTCATCGTCTCATTGCATCAACTGCGGCGGCTGGAGCACGTATTGCGCATGCCTGTCCAGCGTTACCCCCGTCATGCGTTGTTTGCGGTTGCTGGACAGGGCTGGAAGAGACGGTCTGGTGGGCAGCCTACAACATAGAGAAGCCGTATGAAAAAGCTGACAAAACAGTTGGCCTCGGCCGGTTGTTGTCAACTACCTGGTTGCGGTCCGAGAGATGCGGATACTTGCTGGTTGAAAACCTTGGAAGCTATGGCTCAAGATCGATGTCGATGGTGGACGTGTGCGTCGGTGTGTTGCGATATCCCTTCTTCCTCCCCCTAAAAAACAAACTGAAAATTTTCAAAAACTGTTAGTGGTAAATTGGATAAAAATGGCTTTTGTTGTTGTACTTTTCTTTATACTCATGCTGTTTTCCTATTCAGCCGTGATTCCGATGGCACAATATCTGTACCACAGATTGTGTATTATATATATATATATATATATATATATATATATATATATATATATATTGTTGGCGGCATCCGGTTTCGGATTTGCCTGTCACTGTGGCCAACCACAGAACGCCTGCGCCTACAGAGGGACCATGGGTGGCTTGCGCTGCACCACCCACAGCTCCATCCACACACCCCATATCCAGTGTAAACCCGAAGGAATAAGGCCGGGAGGAATGTGGATGGGAAACACGTTTCATCAATGGAGCCGGCCCACACTACTTCACAGGCAAACACAAGCACGCTGTATTTGGGGAATCAAGTGCACGCAAGGCGGTGGCTGGACCGTAGTCCGCTCCACACTGAGTGCATGGAACCACTCTTTGATCCTAACACGGCCACAAGAACCGTGCACCCCCGTCCCCTCCAGCAACGACCAACTGTCTCCTGGAGCCAGTATGGACGAGGTAGTGAGTAATAGACAGGTAGGCACCTTGTCAACATGCACATCAAGCGCAGCCACACGGGGATATCAAGCAACAGCCAATCACTTGAGAGAAAGATAACAAAGAAAATAAGTCGAGTAATGCGTAAGGAGACGGTGTCATGAATCTTAAATTAATGAGCATATGAGATAAGTTGTTTACAAAAGAATCCGAGATAAGTTCACGAGGTCAGGAAGTATATTTTACGGAAATGCTACAAACACGAAAATGTTATCGAAATTAACTACAATTGGCTTAAGCGACGTGTGCAAGTTTATAGAAGAGAATACAGGTAGACATTTATTTGAGAAAGAAAAGCATTAGGACAAAATTGCAAACCCACCACCTGAAATAAATAGACTTAGCATGCAAGCACGCGGTTAGTAAATCGAATGCAGCGTACCTACAAACGCTGCGCCGGTTCTGCCTACGTTCTCTGCAGAACCCGTTGTCGCTTCGGTAGTGGTCCCGAGTGGCCTCGCTCATGGCTCACTAAGCCTGCCTGACTCAGGCACTCGCGACCGCATGTGCTACAGCACCATGTGCTTGATGTCGATGGAGTACAACCCATCGGTGCTTGCCGCTTCCGCACTTGCCGCTTCTTCTCCGCATGCATGAGGGCTTTCTCCTGCACTTCGGCAACTGCCTTCGTGATCAGATCGCACCATGCACGCCGATCAACCGCCTTCGATTCCCATGATCTGCAATCAAGATTAGAACGTGAGAGGCTCACTTTAATCATGTCCTGGTAACGTAACTTTGGTTTCCCCACGTGCCGCTTCCCAATACTCAGCTGACCATATAAGAGTTGTTTCGGTATCCGCGTCGAATCCATACGGCTCACATGACCGAGCCACCTCAGGTGTCTCAGCAAAAGTATGCAGTCCACTGCATACATTCCACTTCGTCGCAACACTTCCGTGTCTGCAACTCTGTCCCCCCAACTGATGCGCAAAATCCGTCGCGAGCACTGCTGATGGAACCGCTCGAGATATCGCACATCCCGACGGTACATCGTCCACGTTTCACTGCCGTATGGAAGAACGGACAGCACCATGGATTTGTACACCATCAGCTTCGTGCCAATGGTAAGCTGATGGTTGTTCCACACTCGGTACTCAAGCTTCCCGAATGCCGCCGCTGCCTTCAACACGCGGATACGAAGCTCACTGTGTGTCTGCTGATCAGTCGACATCACACTCCCAAGGTAGCAGAAGCGGGAGGTGGTTTCCAGTACTTCAGCACCAATGCTGATTCGCGGCAATATTGAAGATTGCACCTCTGGTGAAGGCTGAAAGAGACAGACAGTTTTGCTTGTGTTGATGGTGAGCCCGAATTTGGCCGCTGTCAAAGCCAGAGCACTAGTCATGTGCTGCAACTCATCCGCGCTGTGTGCAAACCATGCACAGTCGTCAGCAAACAGCAACATACGGATAGTTGTCTCACAGACTAGAGTTCTCGCACCGAAACGACGGATGTTCAGCAACCCACCATCAATACGGTGCTCCACACGAACACCGTAAGCACAAGCCGCATCAAAAGCACAGGACATCATTGCATGAAGATATATATTAAACAGGGCAGGAGCTAAGACACAGCCTTGCTTCACACCAGAGACAACTGCAAAGTCATCCGAGGTCTCTCCACTCAGCTGCACCCTCGCTCGCATACCACTGTGCAGACATTCAATTAAACTTACAAACTTACGCGGGCAATCAAACTTACCCAACACCAGCCACAATGCCTCGCGGTTCACCGTATCAAATGCCTTGGTGAAATCAACAAAAAGCGAGTACAATGGCTGGTGTCGTTCTCTGCACTTCTCCTGCAACTGACGAGCCGCAAACACCATATCTATAGTGCTGCGACCCGAACGGAATCCACATTGCTCTTCCGCCACGTTAGGTTCCACAACCTGACTGACGAGGCGGTTGAGCAGGATTCGGGCAATCACCTTGCCCACACAACTCAGCAAGTTGATGCCACGATAATTCGTGCAACATTGCTTGCTCCCTTTACCCTTGTACAGTGGTAGCACAAGGGCATCCTTCAGCTCAGGAGGCACCTCCTCAATCCATACACGTTGCACCAAGTGGTGCAGCGCAGTCACCAACGCGGGTCCGCCGTGTTTCAATACTTCAGGCGGGATCCCGTCGGCTCCGGCACATTTGCCGTTTCGCAGCTGAGCAAGTGCTCTCTGCGTCTCATCCAGTGTCGGCGTGTCCGCCAGACTCGTCTTCACATCGTGCTGCTTGAGGCCGTTCAATGTAGGCCAGTCGATCTCTGAACGGTTGTTCAAGAGACAGTCAAAGTGTTTTTGCCAGATCTGCATTATGTCTGCAGTCTGTGTGCAGGTAGCGCCTGAACTACCATCGATCAGCGTCCTCAGCGGCTCCAACTTCGGTCCATACACCGCCTTCAAGGAGTCAAAGAATTCCTTGTGTTGGCGGCGTTCGGCGTAGCATTCCATCTGCTTCGTCTTCTCCGTCCACCATGCATTTTTGATGCGACGGAGCTCTCGGGTCAGTCGCCGTCGAAGTTTGCGAAACTGACTCTTCTTCCCTAAGTCACTGGGGTCTGCGACATGTGCAGCAAATGCTGCATTCTTCTCCGACACCAATGCGCCAATCGTCGCATTGTTCTCATCAAACCAATCAGGCCGCTTACAGTTTGTGCGCCCGATGGTCTCCTCGGCAGCAGCTGCCACCTGGTCGCGAATGTGGTGCCACAGGTCGCCCACTGTGGCTATGACTTCCACATCACACAGGCGTGCAGCCATCGCCTTCTCCAGCTCAGTACGTTTCGCCCCAGTACCGAGGGAGAGAATGTTAAATTTACGCCGATTCACGGCGGGAGTGCAATACATAGATTTACGAAAATATATGTGCAGTTTGGTCCGAACCAATTTGTGATCAGTGCCACACTCAGCTCCACGCAGTACACGTGTCATGCGCACTTCACGCATATCACGCTGACGTACGATGACATAGTCGAGCAGGTGAGCGTGACCACTCCGTGGGTGTGTCCAAGTTGCTATATCAGTCGCACTCAGTGCAAACCGAGTGTTCGTGATCGTCAGGCCGTGAGTGGCACACAGTGAGAGCAGCCTGTCACCGTTCGCATTCGCTGAACCAATGCCATGCGGACCGATAACATCTGCCCACACCGATGCATCACGCCCAACGCGCGCGTTGAAATCACCCAGCAGAAATAGTCGGTCGCTCCTCGGCACAGACCGTATCACGGAGGATAGCTGAGTGTAGAATTGATCACGCGTGTCATCAGGATAACACATGGTCGGACCGTACGTGCTTATAAAAGTGGCAAACTTACCTCTTCCGAGTCGTAGACGAACAGTCATCAGTCGCGCGCTGATGCCTGTTGGTTCACCCACCAGCTGGCCATGGAGGCGATCGGATATTGCAAATCCGACCCCATGTTCACGTGGTGCTGAGGCGGCGTTGCCCACCCAGTAGAATGTGTAGCCAGCACCTGCTTCATGCAACTTACCTTGCTCAGCGAGCCGAGTTTCACTGAGCGCCGCAATATCGATGTGGTAACGCGCCAGCTCCATCGCGACGAGTGCAGTGCGTCGCTCGGGGCGCTCACTGCAGTTCCGGTCCAGTAGTGTCCGCACGTTCCATCACCTGATGCTGAGTGCTTTGCGCGCAGGCATACGATTGCATTGGTGGGCAATCGCACGCGAGGTGGTCGTTGTGCTTCGGAGGTTTTCTTGCGGGACTCCACCCGGAGCCTCTGGCTCAATAGCCTTACCCACAAGGCAGTGGGTGGTTTGGAGGTTTGCTTGATGGACTCCGCCCGGAGCCTTTGGCTCAATAGCCTGACCCACAAGGCAGTGGGAGCAGATCCAGCTCGGGAATGTGATTGCAGAGACAGATTGGGATCTGCTTGACGGCTGTCACACGCAGCCTTGGAGATACTGGAACGATTCATATATGTTTTGCGACCGTAGTAGGATACGCACTTGCGACCACGGCCAGACGCAGGTGGGTTTTGGCGGGTTTGCACCAATTTGATCAGGGGCTGCCTGGCTTGAGGCGGACAGTAGCAAACCATTGAACACCCGGAGGTGTCCTCCAACCGTCAGAGACAATGCGTGGCGCTCGTGCTCTACGTCAATCGAGCTGTGAGCTTATAACCCGTAGACCTGTTGTCTCCCATGGCTAGATTTTACGGGAAGTGGGCCATCGACCACTTCCTAACCTCCGAAGAGGATGGACTAGGATACTGCCAGGGCGCCCACTCCTGACAGGAGAACGACTCGGGTCCTCAGCCAAAGCCTTCGATTAAATGAACACCCGAAAGGCAGCGGGTCTAGCACATGGTCAGTTCACTGACTCATGCGGATTGGTGTCCTGGATCTTAGCAGGGAGATGGGCGAAACCCAAATCCCACCCAGCGGTCGCCACGAGGAGGCGCCCAGGACATGAGCGAATGGCACAACAGTAGCAGCAGTGGGTAGACCATCTGTCAGGATCTAGCCACCACCAGCCTCAGCGCACCATAGGCTCTCCCGCAATATATATATATATATATATATATATATATATATATATATATATATATATATATATAGTTAGTGTGTTAGTGGGGTTCCTACTGTTTGTCCAACGCTATTCGTTGCCTGTCTCCGTTAACTGTTATCCTGCACGATCTGATCAGAAAACGAAAATGAAACTTCGTTGGCCAAGTCAATATTTCAATCTCCCGCTGACGCCCAGCCCGAATGTATCAGTCGGTTTCAATATGTTCCGAGGCTCCCGTTCAAAGTGGGCACAGGGTAGGCACTAAAAGCGCGGTAGTATCAAGATAGGCGAGAATCGGCTTCAAAACCTTTCCCGTAACTAAATAAAGTAGGAATGCCTAGCAAAGGAGAATTCAGACAAATAAATCACATGATTTGCTAGGAATATACAAAATTTGGCGATTGTTTCTTGTGCTGTTAGCTAGAATTTTATTTAGGACATCTTATAATGTGGAAAATCATTCCCTGTGTGAAACATAATTCAGAATGAAAAACGAGCAAACCAATGACAACAGACTCTGGTACTGATGAGTGTGAAGTGTGCGTTGTTTGGCGAATGTCAGAAGGTCACCGGATAACGCAGTTGGAACAGGAAAAAGCATAAATTCTGGTGAAGCATAAATTCTGCTGTGTCAACCGAAGTTCAAAAGGTGTCGTATAGCGCATTAACTCGAAGTGATTACAATTCACAGTGTTGCGCGCCCACTAAATTGCGCTTATCTGAGCACATCCGACAGGACTTGTAGGAAGCATACTGCAAGATTCAACACCATGGTCGTATTTCGTGTGCCTACAGAGCGGAATCTAGTCCATAGCTAATATACAAATGCTAATAATCATAAGCAGATGAGAATAAGATACAAAGTAGGAAAGACAGTCAGGAACCCATTTGGCAGGAATACTGATTGGTCAGGTCTGGAAGACAACGGATCCATAGAGTCTGGCTACGTAATATAGATTATTGTTTTTTCTCTTGTACTTAGAAGTTGTAGTATTCAAATCACTACTATCGTATTGGTTCATTTTGCTGTTTCAATCATCTGATAGGTATACCACCATGAGCTGTAATCGAGACCGTACTGGTGCTCCACCCGCCATCGAATCTGTGATATTTTACACCAGGCAGGACGAACGAACAATAGTATGAGCCATGAAGAGCGGGTTTATGAAAAATTAAGAGTTTGTTTTAATCCATTGGTCACCACTTCGAATCCGCATAAGTGCGGACGTCCACCTGCGACTGATGGTGGTCAGTTGGTAGCGAAGCGTCGGTACAGTGTGTCCCGGGTCACTGACAATACCTTCGCTGCAAGCACCCACCTAAGTTGTCTTAATCTGTCTTCCATTTTATAGTTTATCACACCATCACCTGGGATCCATCGTGTTATGATCCAGGTAGTTGGCTTGTGGCTTTAACGCTGTGTTCCAGTCTCCACTCTTGCATGGATTTGGCTTGCCTTTGCAGAACTTCAGTTTGCTTGCCATTCGGTTACAGGAAACCGATACACTTCTGACAGTTTGTCCCTCTCTTTTTGAGGTTTATCCACAACACGTTCTGGCTTGGGTTCCCACCCAGTCCTACGAATGTGCGCCACGATAGTTTCTGCTTTTTATCGTTTCCGACGTGTTCTTCGACTTGGTGCGACAGCTTACGTGCCTTCGCGCGATCCACTTAGCTGTGTTGTCCAGTTGTCTTCTGAACTGTGCGACTGACTACGAATAGACTTACAGTCACCAGGAATCACGTAGAACAATGTAATATACAGTTGCCGTTAGAAAAGCAACCTGTGTAGCGTACCGCAACGCAGTAGAACAAACTCAGGGAGTCACACCATCACACTGACACTTGGACTGTAAACTTCCTCCCGCATATGCCAAATGCATTTGATATCTGTCGCTTGGTTTCCTGACAGATACGCAGACTCGGCCAGGCTTGACGTCTCCGGCCCCTTCGTAGTTTGACAGCCAAAAAGTTCTCTCACATGCAGCGGCTCAGAAATCTTGCCACGTCCTACACGCCGCCTACATGTATGACTGGGTGTTCGATCCTGCCACCAACGCAGGCGAGACTTCGCTCAGTTAGCCGACTTGTTGGCAGTCCTTGGCAGCCCTTGCTTTGCGCCGCCAAAGCACATCCTTGCATTAGGCCGTTTTTCCTCTCCAACAGAAACAAATGACAATGAGTTACTTTAATCGCGAGTCCCATCCGCCACGCCACATTGATGAGGTTGGTGCGGTGACTAATGTGATGCTACTACACTTGACTACGTCATCCGGACGCCAACCGCGAGTGGTCAACTGTCTGTTTTCTTACCACGGCGGAGGTGACCCAAAATATCCGAACCTGGATCTGCTGCAGGCCTAACAGAACTACATCCGAGTCCTCCATCTGTCCGTGACCACAACGGTCACATCTCCCTGAATTCTCGAGCTTCGTCAGATCTACCATACAGTTCGAGTCCAGTTCCAGTACTTGTTACGCTTTGTTTTGGTGTGTATTCCTGTTATCGGTTCATGATTCTGATGTCTTCTGTGGTGGGTGTTTCTCACTCACTTTTTATCTAAGCAGCGGCATCTATGCTAATGCTGCAATTGCTATAAGTGAAATGTTGGGTTCGCGGATTCCACTCGTTGTATCACCAAGTTGCCTGACGTATTCTTCGCTGATCTGGCACGCAATCATCACACAGCGTCTTGTCATCTTTCACCATCCACAGCGAGTGCCACTCCATGCATGCGGTTCTTAGAAATTGTGGTTGGTGCGCCCATTTCGCTGTTGGATCGGTCCTTGATTCCACTTAAGCTGGTCTGCTCAGGCACTGAGCCGCATACGCTGCGCTGTGCTGGAAGTCAACAATCGTGTGATGATTTGTCTCAGTGCACTGTATAGTTTATCCGCTTATTCTTTTTTGATACTTGTACCTCAATTTACTGTTCCCAAACAGCCTCCCTCATCCTTATTAGCAGGGATTTTCACTACCGAATCTCCACCGCCCATGTCCTTGTTAGACATTGGACTGAGAAGATACTTGTTCGCTATTCGAACTTAGTCTTGCATGTGATGCGAACCGGCTGACCGACTGCAGTCCTCAAAATTACCTTTGCCTCTATCAGTACATTCGTCGGTACAGCTGATATTATCAGTAGTTGGCATGGTATCTCCCTCGTTTGTTTGTTTCTTTAGTTTATCTTATCCTTGTTCGGGATTGTTAACTAATGGCATCCGTTTTATCTTCTGTTCATTCCAGAGGAGTCTTTCAATCACTCGTGGAAAAATACTTTCCCATTCCGAGCAACTTGGAAAATTTCAGCTTGCGAGGCGAACGGTTGGCCACCATGGGTGACCGGAACTCTTCGGCAACGCTTAGTCGAGCTGGTCGTGCTGTAGCCGGTGGACAGGGTAGTGGCCTCGGGTTGAAAGATATTTTGGGCGAAAAGATGTTTGCGAAACTGGTGGCCGGTGGCAGTTTATCCGGATCGAATGCGGACGAGGTGGAGTTGGATAGACTGAAATCCATTGGGAAGAATTCCGATTCCGATGCGGACAATGATGACGATCGTTCAGATGACTCTGGCGACGAGGATGACTCCACAGAAAATCTTTCCACTTGCAAAACCAACGGTCTTGGGCATTCCTCGTCTTCGGATTACTTTGACTCGGACTTGGAGTTGTACCCGAGTGGCACTTCCGAGCGGCGCCGTACTGCTGGTAAGAAGGCAGCTCCCAAAAAACGCGAACGAGGTGGTCCCTCTTCCAACGAACTGTCGGATAATTCCGACAGCGACTGGGATCCAGATGCGCTATTTGACAGCTTTCTCGCTCGACAAGGCTCTTGGTCACGCGGCATGACCGACCAGCGTTTTGACAAGACAAAGAAGCCGAGCTCCAGTTTGTTGGATGACTTCGTTGGGGAAGATTCTATGCGTGAGCTATCCCACAAGTACCTGTTCCGCAAGCGCACATCTCAAGATGGCCGTTCCATAGGATCGTCTCGTGATCGCGTCCCTGAAAATGTCTCCCCGGATGAAGCCAGACGACAGTGCAGTGAAATGCAGAGTCTGTTGTTGCGTTTTATCGAGAAACTGGGGCCGAAATTGCCCCCGAGTTCGCTGGATGAACTAATCGACAAATTAGGGGGTCCGTCGTGTGTGGCTGAAATGACTGGACGTAAGGGTCGTATGGTTATGGGCGACAATGGCCGTGTTTCGTACGAGTCAAGACGTGAATTCGATGTCAGCCTGGAAATTGTCAATTTGACTGAGAAACAACGTTTTATGGACGGGGAGAAACTGATCGCGGTTATCTCGGAGGCAGCGAGCAGTGGCATCTCTTTACAGGCGGATCGACGAGCCCTGAACCAGCGGCGTCGTGTCCACATTACCCTCGAATTACCGTGGAGCGCAGATCGGGCGATACAACAGTTTGGTCGCACACATCGTTCGAATCAAGTCAGCGCTCCGAAGTATCTTTTCCTCATATCTGACCTGGCCGGGGAACAGCGTTTCGCCTCTACAGTTGCAAAACGTCTCGAGTCTCTGGGTGCATTGACTCATGGCGATCGTCGTGCCACTGATTCACGTGATCTGTCCCAGTTCAACATAGACACGAAATTGGGACGCGAAGCGTTGGACATCATTATGCGCTCCTGCATTTATGGGGAAGAGGGCATCGTGGAGCCACCCAGCAATTATGCCAGTTACGAAACAAGTCTAAACGATCTGAAACCTCCCACGCTACAGGATGGTGCACGTATGTTTTTTGTCGATGCGAAAGCAAGCCTGCAAGGTGTTGGATTGGCAACAGGCCACACGCGTGAACGAGATGCGAATCAGATGTCAAAGTTCCTCAATCGCATGTTGGGGCTACGCGTGCACGTACAAAATGCCATATTTCGCTACTTCTCCGACACCTTGGAGGAATTGACTCGCCGAGCAAAGCGCGATAACCGTTTGGATTTGGGTATTATGGATCTGGGCACAAGCGGACAGAATTTGGAGATTACGTGGACCAAAAGCTTCGACACCTGGTTCTTGTCGGAGTCGACCAAGGTGCACCTGCACAAAGTGACCGCCGAGCGCGGCCTCTCCTGGGCCGCGGCTATGGAAATTTACACGCAACACGATGGTGTTCATGATGGATTTTATCTTCCATCTGGTCTCACTACTAGCAAAGTTGTCATACCTGTGCTGGCTGTCTACGTGAAATCACGACCCGGGGCCCGTCTATCTGGTGGGAAGAGTGACACAAAGTACTATCGTATTTACCGGCCAAACACGGGGATGCAAGCCCGACCGTTGGAACTTGGAAAGCTGTTGGAACGATACACCAGAGTGGCGAACCCGTCAGAGTGCCAGGACGCATGGTACCACGTTTGTAAGGAGAGCGCCACTCGATGTATCCATGTGATGCAACACGGTATCTGTCCTCGTGCCACCCATCAGCGCACAATTTGTGAGGTCGGTCTTCGCGTCCGCACCTACCACGTCCTCAGTGGCTCGGTTCTTAATGTGTGGGCACAAATTGAACCACTCATCCAGAATCGATCAAACATGGCTCGATGCATGCAAGTAGTACGTCTAAAATCCAAAGATGGTAGTCGTATCATCGGTTCCCTCATACCACAGGAGTGTGTGGATGATGTTCTGCGTTGTCTGTCGTCACCTCCTGAGATGTCCCAGTCGCACCATGACGCGAGCGTTGATCCACCGACATCTGGACAGTCTGCTTGGCCGTCAAGGGGAGGGCATACACAGCGACCGTTGAAGAATAATGGCGTAAACCACTCTGCGCTATCCAGGGGTTGGTCCTGGCCTCGTCGACCCACCAGTGTACTCAATCGTGGTACTCACGCGAGCGACCGCTCTGTTTTTCACTCAACCAGTGCATCGTTTAGCAGTCCTCGAGCTCTTCATCATTCAATTCGTTCACGGATTCCTCATGCCTCAGACCCTTTCGACCGCCCATTTAATGTGTTAAATCATCCGCCACCATCACTTATTCACCGTCGTGGTACCGCGCTCCACTCGCGAATCGGAACTACTGCGACAGCTAGTCCATTGGCCCGAAACTCTTTCATTAATGGACGCCCTGAACAGCCACTCGTGGGATCTATTCATTCTCAACAGCGAATTTCTGGCAACACATCTGCGGCGTTTCGGTTGTTGCCTAGTTTACAGAGTTCTGCTCCAACCAACTCCACTTCTCCCCGAATGGGTGGTGTTCCAGCTGCACGTCCTGGAAGCCGATTGAATGCGGCACTCTCCATCCCAATCGATGTTCCGGATTCAAGTTCCGTCGAGCCTCCAGCCCCAACGCCGTCTTCTGTCCAGCTTCATCCTGCGTCTTTCAGCTCATCGTCTCAGCCTCTTATCTCATCATCGTCATCCATCTCAGCGGCTGTTGTAAGTCATCCGCTTCCCGAACAAACAGGTCTCGTGACCTCAGCGCCCCTCGAATCCGCCCCAACCACTGTGGTGAAGCGACCACCGAGTAAACTGACCAAATTTAAGATACAATGGAAAGAAGGCTGACTCACTACTTGCTCACTTGGAAGACTTCAAACCGCTTCGTTCTGGCTCCACCACCGATGTGACTTCGCTTGCGCATTGTTGCCGACCTTTTTAGACATGTGCCTTACTTCATGTGATCTGGTTCACCAGGAAACGTTTGTCTTTTGACGTGTTCCATGGTTTCGCAACATTTGCCACCTGTTTGCTTGGCTAGTCAACGATTCAACCTGTATTTTCTTACTGTTTTCATTCTTTCACAGACGTCGTTCCCTTTACTCCCCACTCCCAGTCTTCGAACTCACACCGTGCACACTCCGCTACCTTACGTCCCTCTGATTTTGTTGTACATAGTTGGAGAAGAGAGACGTCGTCTTTCTCTAAGAACCCATTGTACAGTGTTTCGCATTTCCACACACACACACACGCATGCACCTGACACTTCTGCGGGCAGCAGCGTTGTAGGGGTAACACTTGACTTGCATTCAAGCTTGCTACTTGTGTCATCCCCTTGCACCTTCAATTACCTCAACACACATCTTGTGGCACCCGCCCTGTCCCTGTAAAGTACCAGCGTTGTGATTCGTTTTGGTTAGATTTATCTTGCTTATGCAACACTATTTCACTGAGTTCATCTTTTGTTCTGCATTCTCTTGTGCGTTGCAACTCACAAGTCCGTTCGGGTTTTGGCCAACCATTATGAAATGATTTTCTGTGCCTGCGGCTTGGCAGATTGTGGTATATTTTTTGCGAAAATTAAGGCCGTCAAAAGTCATCGGGCTCCAATAAAGCATTCTGCTTAGATGGAGACGGGCACTGACTTCATCAGAGTAGAGTGAGGCACAATTGTCAGCGATACTGTCTAACCCCACTACAGCTTGCAGTCTTCGCAAAGTAATCGCGTATTCTTTCGATTTTTGAAAAACACTTCAAGCCACTATTTAAAATAAGTCACCCCCTCCGGGCACATTCCCCATCTTTCATCACCACTAAGCGTCTAAGCCTGACTCATGCAAGGTAGGGAATTTCGTGAACCCTCAGACGCGGACTCTGTCGACTCGAAACCCGATTATTGATCTATGACCACCCTCGGTCGTTCGCAGAATTTCCCGTCGCGAAGGTTCCTCTACTTTTAACCACGTGTTACAGTTGTAGCTCCGGCAAACATCGGGTGCTTCCGTCCATCACAGGTCATTAAATATAAGTAATAACAGTCGACAGTAAGCGCGTGTGTTCTCTGTACCTCCGCTACACTTCGGCAAACATGAGCCTAACTTGATGGATAGATTGGGTGTTGTTCGCACGAAAACGCCGCACTCCACGGCTAGTTTCGATCTGATCTGATCTCCTCAGCTGGAGATTGCAAGCACTCGAACCCGGAGTCTTTGAGATGTTAGCCAAAACCCATGTACCTAACTCACCAAGTCACGGTGAACAACAATTGTCACAACTGAAAAATTTGAGGGGTCATTTGGAAGCACTCGTTGTGTGTGAATGGATTGAGGCGCGCAATCTCATTGTGGATTGCGATTCACATTGAAGTGAACTCTGATCAATTCGATCACTGGGTCCGTAACTGATGAAGCAGTTGGATAACTGATGTTTCCCGTCTGAAATACCTGCGCTCCACGACTGTCCCAGTGATTGAATTTACCAAAGTTCCCTTCAACGCGAATCGCGGTCCACGTTGAGATTGCGCATCCTAATCCGTTCGCAAAATGAGTGAATTTAATTTGTCCGCTAGCATTAACGGCTAAATGTTGGTAGCCCCTATCGTATGTCCTTTCTTTGCATGCTCTGTAGTGGGATGGTCAGTTATAAGATCTCGTGGGCAAGGCAGGGGACGGTAGTACGCCGGTACGCAGTACCGACGCTTGTCTGCCACGCAACCACTACCGGTCGCACGTGGGCTGGGGATCCTGCGAGGGTCCACGCGATGCCTACGCAGGCTGGAATCCGCGCCTTCAGATTACAAGGCAGGCGTGTTATCCTTAAGGCTCCGGGCCGGGGGAATTGGTCGATTGATAAAATGCCCAGGGGCAAAAGTCATACACAGGCCTTTGCATTCACAGAAGTTCGTCTGGAGAAATTGGTGCTTCGAGAAACGAAGTCAGAACTGGTTTACCAAACTTACAGATCGATCTGTGTCGCCGTGCAAGGGGAACAAGATAAACGATTCAAATTTCAGAGAGATCTTGCTCAGACTTACGAGTAAGCTTCAATTCTGTGCCAGATTTGAATCAGCAACTTAAGGACAGGATTCCAAGGTCAAGCACGTCTTTCTGTACCTTCTCTTGTTCGTGTCGATCAAGATATATCAGATACTGCCTGAAAACCCGCAAAACATCGTTTAGGTTGTTCAAAATAATTCGGGATATTGGCAGCTTTGATTTGCTGTTCAATAATTGAGTTACTCGCCGAGCTGCGTAATTTAATTGCAGACATTTCCTCGGGGTGACATCAGTGCAGAAGGATTAACGGTTTCGTGGCGAATGGTGCGAAAACTTCTACGATGAACTTGTCCAACTTGATTCTATGGCGATACCGTCCTTACACATCCGGCCAATACGAACCACCTGTTCTGTATAATCTATCTAATACCCAGACACCAAACACGAGTAGTTAGGTGTCATCTACTTGAATCAGCCGAAGCGATCATTCGACTCCAGGACTCTGGCCTATGCGCACTTGAAATATTTATCCAGGCACACATTGCTGAAACGGATATTTCGCTAGCTGTGATTTCTAGACCGGTTGATATGAATCGCGAGAACGCTATTGTTGTTTGCTTTTCCACGAAGCACTCGCGTGGATCGATTGCGATATGCAATCAACGTCTACTGCGATTGGTTTAAAGTGAATTGATCAATTGGTCCGTATCTGAACCAAAGCGGATGTTGATCACTCTTACTATTGCTTCCCGTGATTGGTTTCGTGCTCTCTTGCACTGTGCAGGCAGAAATAGCAGCGTAGCTACTCGATCCCCAGGTATAAAAGTCGTAACATTTAATGACTCCCTGTGAATTTATTTTGAACATCCGCTACGGAAACAGATTGCGGTACATCACTGTCTGAAAATCTGGAGTGGCGCATTCGATAGACTGTTACATCCGGACAAACCTCTTCGCAGCCCCCTGTTTCGAAAGTGACCCGGAACTTATCTTGATGGCTGTATATATAGGAACAAACGTGCGGCTACCAAAATGGGTCCATCTATTGCCAACTGCCGGATATCCATCACGGACTTTCGGTCCCTCTAGCGCCGGAAACGTATTTCTCCTTATCCTACAGTGTTGTGTAAACAGAAAAATGATGCGTGTCGTTCTCAAGTGCCACAACGAGACTTATTTCGGACGGCTTGAGCATCCTCCGAGACAGACGACAGCTGCTTCCCTGCAAAATTGGAATGACCAGCATTCTCTTAGTGGTATATTTCTCCAACTCTTTAGATGCTGTGCTCACAGGGGGTGGACAGATCGGGTGTTAAAGAAGTTTCCACTCTTTTACTTGAAGGATTACTTTGTAGTCAAATTACAAATAGTACTGGTAGCGCACATTAAATGATGCGAGTAAGCTCTTGGGGACCATTGAGGCGAGCACGACTGTTCTCCAACCTACTGACAGTTTAAACCCAGTATATTCGCTCTGTTCAGTTGACTCGCAGTTACGAATCTATCGCTAATTGAACCCAGCAAATATGCTGCACTGACGTGTCATGTAATCTAACTTCACTGGCAAAGTATAAGAAGGGCGAAGGTGATCTGTGTGTAAGAATTTGGCTACCAGTGAGGTTTACAATAACAAGGCAAAATAAACGTTTGGTGCGGTGTAGTGAATAGTTGGAGTGCATTTGAGTACACGGAAACGGATGGTAGCACTTGAAAGCGATATGAATTCAGTGGAAAACTTGAATTGTTGTGCAGATTAGAGTTGATTTGAACCCAATCGAAGTGTGTGGGGGCTGGCTACTAGTGTCCAACGTTGTTGCTGCACTTGCCCCTCATCTATACATCTTCAGTCGTTACGTTTAGTGAAAATTAAAATCAAGAGCAGAGACAAAAGGGAACGAAACAATCAAGGAGGAATGCTTATTTGCTCAACCTACTAATGTTGGCATGTTTTCCTGGACGCGCAGTAGGCTGTCTCTGACCAAAGCACTCGTAAGATTCAGGACGGTTGATGTACGTACGCATCTCAAAATTGACATATCATCCTTCACTCGACCGGTGACCGAGTGGTCTGCACGTTTGCTTTACAAACATAAGATAACCGGTTCGAATCCGCGTAGGGGTGGGCGTCCTCGCGGTATAGTCAGCCCGCGCGCGACTGGTGGTGGTTGCGCGGCAGCGAAGCGCCGTTACGACGTACAGCTGACACATTATTATTATTATTATTATTTAGGGATGGGAAGAAGCAAGGATAAGTACTGTTTTCTGTTCTGCATAAGCACACGGTAGATCACCGCTCTCATTAACATACACATGAATCGGAACATCTGCTTTTCGCACACTGTCCTGGTGAACGTGTTCCCATGAAGGCGCACCATCAGCCGTTAAATCGGGTGAAAACAAGAGTGGAAGGAAGCAGTGGCTTCGAAATGAAGTCAATCGCAGATAAAAATGAGTGTACATACCATATTTCACAGCATCTCAGGACATTTTACATAAGTCTTTGTGAGGAGAAACATCAGAGTTGTTGGCAACAACCGGATGTTAGTAGCTCATCTTTTTTGTATTATATCAGTTTGCCTGCGCCTGTGGTGCAAGGTACCTCGGATGCACAACCAGATGTCTATATAGGCGGATAGCAGACCGCTGCGTTGCCTCTTTGCAGTGCGGTACGCTTAGGAATGTTCGCAGCTCCATCCTCGACATCTGCTTACTACCGGCCATCAGATTCGGACTGATGGCGCCGTTAAAGTGGTCTACACGGCACCGAGGCGCAACCCCAGGGGAATCAGAAAGCGCTGAAGCCATTGCAATCAGAATACTTCAGCCGGAGTTGTGTAAGCAGAGAACATTGTGCAATCTATCATGCTGCCGTGGTTATAATTTCGGACCGTGATTACGGCTTAGAGTGATGGTTGTAGACCTACCGGCCAACGCGTCTGTATTTTATGCGTCTCCGCGCGCCTCGACGCATGACTGTATGGAGCGGATTATTGATCGACTTCGTTGAGTCAACAAATCACATCGCCAATGTTCACTTACCTGTCACGTTTATCTGTATTGTAATTTTATTTGCCTGAAATGAATTGCCGAAAAGATTTCTGTTCGCAAGTGTTATGCTTATGAAGAGTACCGCTATTTCTGAAGAGAGCTTATTTCATTCTGGTGCATATTTATTGGCATAGCTGTCTTGAACGGAGTTTGGAATGCATCTTTAGAATGCACAGTATCCGCCTAGCAACGTGAAATTTGACCATAACCTGCCGCAAGAGCGAAGATGCGGTGTGGTCTGGAGCAAAACTTAATCACATTGCCAGCTTACATACTTTTTATTTTTCTTCGAAACATTCCGGAATTACAGAATGAGCTTTATTCTGCATAGCCATGCAGTTTTAATTTGAACCTATTACAACCCTCATGGTAATTTGTGCCTCCAGACGAATCTGAAACCCCATTGTAAAAGACACAGCTTACTGTAGATAACTGGACGGTATTCAAGCCGTGATCATATGTACAATTCGAACGCCACCAGTATGGATTCTTTCAAGACAAATCTGCAAACATATGCGACCATCTTCCTGGAAGTGACCTATAAGTGCCTGTCTTGTTCTATGGAAATGTAGGAAGCTTTGCCACACGCGAGGATAAGGATATTATTACGTCAGGTGATCAGAAGGAACGTCGCAAGCATGGTAAAAAGCATTGCATCAGTCTACAGCAAAAAGCAGTCCCCTGATAAGGTTCCATTTTTTAACCATGTCACATCGGATTGGATGTATGTTGAAGCGAAACTAACTTGTCTTGAATAGAAACAGTAGACGGTTTGCATTTCGTCCGTGAAATGAGAGGGGTTTCCAAAGTTGATGTGACCAAATAGATCATTTATGTAAATCAAAAACAAAAGCGGTCCCGATATTGTCTTGGATCACTTCGCATGTTAGTAGCTTAGATTCGGAGAAGCTGTTTCTCACTTCAACTACTTGCTTCTTGTCCTCAATATTCGCTCAGTCCATTGACTCCAAAATGATACCGATAATCTTACGATGTTTCGAACACATGTTGCGTACATTTGTCCATCGTGTGGTTGTAAACGATTCGAGGTAGCTGTTTCGTCTCACTTGTTTGTGACTGCAGGCGCTCGTCTACTTGTATGTTCGCGTAATGAGTTTTAGCCATAAACAGTTGTCTTTTCGTTGTTTATGTCGCTGAATGCGAACACCTGTGGTCGGCCATTCATGCTTTATTCATCTGTACGGTGGATATGCCACCTTGTTACTAAACCGCCGTTTCACACCTTCCGTTTCTGTCCGGCAGATGGTATTGCACTTCGAGGTATCTGTTGGATTCGGAGGATAGTGTAATGTGATGCCAACCAGTGGTATGATAACCTCCTTCATTACTGTGATCTCGCTCATTTTCAACCGCTCGTGGGTCACTAACCGACGCTCATCAATCAATAAAAGGCTAGACCTTAATGTAATGCAATCGTTAGCACATCTGGAAGTTCCATCGAGCTAACTTGGGTAGTAGCATCATCTACGCACTTTCTGAACTACTCATGCTTGACATGTCAACGCTTGCAGACCAGGGAAGCGGCCTCATTATCCTCTCTGTGAACCGCACCGAAGTTGTTCACAGGAAGCGAAGTGGCTATGCTGGTTGTAAGGTCACCCCGTATGGCGTATTTCGCGAGCACTGCGGAAGCAGAGAAGTTGTGGGAGATAACATCCATAAGGGTTGTAAGTTCAGCTCGACTGGCTTAGACCTTGGGTCGTCGCTGAAGATGCGCGAAGGCGCTATCCTTGCTTACCGTCAACCACTGACCATCAGGGTGGAAACCAGCGAGTGCGTCCTGATCTTATAAATAAATAAATAAATGGTGTATTTCTCGACATTGCGAGACACAGATCGATTACGTGGTCTGCTCATATTGTGCAACATAATCACATAGTGAAGCAAATTGTCCAAGTGTGGCAATGTTTCAACTGAAGTGTTAGGAGTTTGCTATCAATTAAAAGTAGTGCAAGAGAAGGCTGATAGTAAGAATGTAAGAAGCGTCATCAGTTCAAGGGGATGAGTGCATCGCTGATTTTTTGGGTTGCCAGGACAATGCGAGTCGACATGAACGAGAGTTATTCTGCTCCTGTGCTCATGACTAGCGGTGTCCCACAGGGATCGGTTCTGAGCCCAGAACTTTTCAAGATCTTCATCAATGACCTCCCGGCGGAACTTCAGTTGGATTGCTTGATTTACGCTGACGATTTGAAGATGTGGATGGAGGTATCCTGTCTTGGCGATGTTCACCCATTACAGGCAACACTTGATGTGTTACATGAGTGGTCAGTCAAATGGCGATTGCCCGTAAATCACGATAAGTGCTCGGTCCTCTCTATTGGTGCTTCTGAGCCTTTCGGGACGTACCACATTGGTGGGGCGTTGCTCAGAAATTCAATCCTTGAAAAAGACCTCGGCGTGTTGGTGTCATCTGATCTATGGACTACATAGGGCACATTACGAAGGGTTACTGCTGCCAACAGGATC